GATTATAATACAGAGATGCTTTTTAATCAGTCCAACCTGTTTTTTACAGTTTGTCAGCCTGTTACTGTATAGGCTTTGGAGAGGTGTTCCATGCGCTTAAAATATCAGTAGGACACCCCCAGACAAATTACTCATTAATGTCACTCCCATAGATAAGTTGCTAACATGACACACATTCACACTGAGGCAAGCTGTAAAGATTTGCAGTGGGATCGCTTATTTTATTTGCTGCAGTTATGTGGCACTTTGCCCAGATATTTTAATAGGGAACTCTAGGATTTGCTAGAGTTAAAAAACACCTGGGCGATTTGATCATGTCACAGAGATGTAACCACGAAGACAGCAGGGAACAGGTCTAACTAAATAAACGGCCAAGTGGGAGAGAGAATGGTGCAAGGCTTGGGGACTGTCACACCACCGAGAAAGTTACTACACCTTGGGTGTGGCCTGATGTCCCACAGCTGATGCACCTTGAACTCACACCGGACCAGGTCATCAGGCTCACTGTGGCCTTCAGAGCTGCCGCAGGAAGCGCCATAGCAGGAGCTTCTTCTGCTCTTTGACACATTAGATAAACAACAGTGTTGTACGAAATGCTTCTTACAAATTTAACGTACGTTTTGGGAAACAGTTTCTTAAAACCTTTGAATATCTGAGAAAATGCTCAAGCTAGTGTTTGGCACAAATGTTTGCTGGTGTAAAATCTGTGTGTGAATGTCAGGTTGTTTTGCTTGCACTTTCTCATGTGTGTGTGAATGTGTGAGTGTGTGTGTGTGTGTGTGTGTGTGTGTATGTCTGTGGTGCTAGGGATGAAATCAGAGCCTCGTGTGTGTTAGGCAAGTGGTACCCCTGAGCCACACCCTCACTCCTCATTTCTTCTTCTCAGCAGTCGTATAAGGTACGTGGTATTACTAGGAATGTTTTTCAGATGAGATGAAACAAGAAACTAAAGCTAAGAAAGGCTAACCTGCCCACACCCATGCATCAAAGAAGTGACTGATCCCTGGTTCAGACTCTGCCCATCTGACCCTGCATCTTACTTACTCTGCTAAAAAAGGCCACTTGCTAACACTTTCTAGCTGTCATAAAAGCCACACAGAATGTGACCCGCCAACAGTAGCCAACAACAACAAAATGCACGGCGTACTTAGTTATTTGTTCTGTAGTACTGGAGATGGAATTCAAGGCCTTTTTACTGAGCTATATCAGCAGTTTTTTCATATGTTGAGACAGGGGCTTGATAAATTGCTGAATGGCCCAGGATGGACTCAGAATTGTAATCCTCCTGCCTCAGCCTCCCAGGGTGTTGGGATTACAGGCATGTGCTACCATACAGCACTAGGATAATATCTTTTTTTAATTCACATATTTATTTGTTCATTTGTTTAGATTTGTGCTAAGGATTGAACTCAGTACATATTTTAAAGTTCAAATTTTAATTATTTTTTGGTGCTAGGGATTGAACCTGGGGCTCCATGCCTACTAAGCACACTCTCTACCAGAATTACACCACCAGTCCTCACATTTTTACTGAAGGATGTACAAAGTGTGCAGGAAAGGAAAGACATACCCTGTTCCTGAACAAAAGACAACAATGTGAAAATTATCATTTTCAATTCAACGCAACCTCTTAAAAAACCCACGCACATTTCACTTTGGTGAGTAACCGTACACAAACAGCCAGGCAGTTACACAAGAGGGAAAGAGAAACTGTGACCCTCAAGGATATGGAAACATGTAATGCAGCATAAAAGCAACACTTCATAGCAAGTGGGTGCTCAATGAATCTGAGAAGTTTAGAACATCATATCTCATACTACTTGCTAAAATTCCAGGTAATTTCAAAAAGAAAAACAAAATCCAGGAAAATATAGGTCAATGTTATGTAACTTCAAGGAGGGGATTTGTCAGGGATCCTGTGACACACAAGTCAGAAACTGTGTTAGGAAAGGTTAGATGTAACAGCAAGAAAAACTCGAAAACTCCTGCACTTTAGAAAACACAGTAAGTTAACACTGGAATGAAAATGGGAAATGGAGGGAAAGTGTTTGCAGTCTATATCACGGGCGGGAAATTATTATTGGGATGGGGCTGTAGCTCCGGGGCAGAGTGTTTTCTGGCGTGTGAAAAGCCCTGGGTTTCATCCTCATTAAAAATTCTTAGTATTCTTAGCCAAACCAATAAAAAGATAATTGTTCTATTTTAAATATGAACAAAAACTCGATAAATTCAACCCAAGAAGAAATTGAAATTACCTCTTATCACTTGAAAAAAAGGCTATTCTTTTTAGCAGTGAAATCAACAAATAGAAGTTATAAGAGGGTAAACTTAGTACAGTTTTCACCTATTAGACTTATACAAGATTATACAATAGCAGTGTTAGAGCCAGGTATCCTGTAATCCTAACCCTCAGGAGGCTGAGGCAGGAGGATTATTGTGGACTTGAGGTCAGCTGGGCCTACCTAGTAAGCTCAAGTCCATCCTGGACTACAGAGTGAGACAAACAAAATCTAGGTTGAAGAGGGTAGGAGTGAAAGAATGTTTTCTTAAAGAGAAATGCTGGGAGAATACAAATCACATAAAATTTCTAGGGAAGGGGATAATTGCCAAAAAGGACAGTTTGATGTCTTGACTTATAATTCTTCTTCTAGAGATCTGTGCAAAAGTAATAATGGGCAACATTTTTACAAGACAAAAATTTAAAATTGGAAGAATCCTGAATGTTTAATTTTTTTGTCTAGTAATAGGATGGAAAGCTATGTAGCCGCTAAAGAGGTACTGTGGGATATTTAGACACATATGTAAATTTATTTATGTATTTGTTTGCTCATTTATTCATTTACTATGAGCTGAGGATTGACCCCAGGCCCTTGCACATGCTGGCAAAGTCCTCCGCTGCTGAATTTCACCGCCAGCCGCAGGTATTAATACACAGTGTATGATCAAGCGAAGGTGTTTACCCCTGAATGAGAGCAGGCAAAGGCGAGCACAGAACACACCCCCACTGTGGAGAGAATAAACACCAAAGTGTGAGTGGCAGTGACATTGCTGGTATGTTTATTTTGCTTATTTGTATTTTCTCCAGTAAATGTGGCCTGGCTTTATAGTAATTAGCTGTCAAAGTCACTTCTGTTACAACAGCTGGGCACAGATCAATATCAAAGGCAACGGGGCTGGGGATTTAGCTCAGCGGCAAAAGCGCCTGCCTGGCAAGCGCAAGGTCATGAGTTCGGTTCCCGGTACCGGAGAAAAACAAAAAAAAAACAAAAACAAAAAAAAAAACAATATCAAAGGCAAGGAGGATTGCCCATTGCTGGCTGGCTTTGTACCCTCTCTGTTTCGAGTGGCTGAAACAGCAAGATAAGACCAGGAAAGGAAAACCTGCAGTTGAGGGACTGTTCTGTGGAGTGGACTCCTGGATCTTAGAAATATTATCTTGCTAGCACCCAGTTTCCAAGAAATGAAGCAGCACGTACTTGCCTAGTTGGAGAGCTGTTCAGGGTGTCATGGTGAAAGGGTTTGCTAGCCTCTGCTCTTTCCTTTTTAGGGGTAGAGGCGCTGGGAATCAAGCCCAGGGCCTTGGGCATGAGAGTCAAGTGCTCTGAGCCACACCCCTGCCCAAAACATTTTTAAATTTTCCGTAAGGCTTCTACCATTTCAAATAAGTTTTGCTTGTAGAGCTGGTTCTTTTGCTTGCTTGCCTGCCTCAGATAAAATGCTGTTCTCCTCTTCCTATCCCACCATCCTTTCCTGTTACAGCTTCCTCTTGGCCTCAGAACATAGAAGCAAATACCGCACACTGTCACACACACATGCACTCACAATGTCATGGATGGATCTAGCTATTGACCTATTATCTATCAATCCATCCATCCATCTGGGTTGTTGCATTTATTTATTTATTTATTTTTGTCTTTTTGAGACAAATTCTCCCTATGCAGTTCAGGCTGGCCTTAAGCTCACTTTCTAGCCCAGGCTGGTCTCAAACTCACAGCAATTCTCCTGCCTCAGCCTCCTGAGTGCTGGGGTTACAGGCGTGTACCACTATGCCTGGCTTTTCCATCTGAGTTGTTTCAAAGCCTTTTTGGAAACACTTTTTTTTGGTTTGTTTTCTTTTGTTTTTGAAATGAGTTTTCTGTGTTGTCCAGGCTAGCCTCAAACTCCTGGGCTCAAGTGGTTCTCTTGCACCAGTAGCAGGGATGACAGGCACACACTACCGTGCCTGGCTAACCTGGTGTTTTCCTGAGCAGGACGTTGACGTAGGAGTCAGATGAGTATCCTGAGTATCATCTGTTGCAGCTTGTGAGCTGCGGTGACACCAGATCTGTTGATTCTTATGGTTCCAGCACTTCCTGGGATACCGAGTTGACTGAAAATAGAGTCCTGCTCGAGTTTGAGGGACGGGGTCACAGAACTAAAAAGAGAAGTCGCGAAAAACGTCCTGGGTGGGGCCACCATCCCCCTGGGAAGAGCTGTAGCGCCAGGTATCTGGCGGAGATGGCCAACTTCAAAGCACAAACACAAGTCAGCCAACAGCACAGTCGTGTTCAACACTGTAATTTACGTGCACTCACACCTCCAGACGCCTGATGGCTGAATGCTAAGTGACACTGAGAAGGCACCTCCAGATCCTCTTGGGTCTGAACATGACGGGCTACTGAAAACATGCCAGGACCACCGACTCTTGAGGGAAAACAACACATGGAATTTTTTAAAAAGGCAATTTGGCGTCTCTTCGCAGAGAGTGGGATTCGATTTAATTAAAGGGGAGAACCCCCAACTCCATCTGGCTCTCTGGCCTCAGCAGCAAGGAGTGACGTCAGAAGGAGGAGGAGAGGGAAGGGTTCTTTCTTGGTACTCTGGACTTCCTCCTTGGGGATCAGTAGAACATGCGAAGTGACCTTTGTTTTGCGGATGGTAGCGGGACAGTCAGGGCGACCACCTCTCCGCAGCGTCTTGGAGATACACTGCTGTTCCTTTCTGTTTTTGTTTTCTTACAGTGACAGTGAATCCTAACACAGAAAGGTGCTCATGTTCCCAAGAGAAGTCGGCCCTGAGGGAGCCTGCTGGGCCTGCCAACAGAGGATGGACAGGATGCAGTTTAATGAATTTCAGATCCACGCAGACGGAAGAACCTTTGCTGTTTCTTCCAGTGCCCACTCTCCTTGTGTTGGCATCCCCTGTCCCTGTCCCTGTCCCCAGAAGGAGGAGCCCAGCTGTCCTCAGAGCTGCTCAGGGCTGAGGAGGACCAGAGGGGGCCTGGCGCGCCCAGGCGGTGGCCCCTCCTCCAGACACCCCAGTCTCACTCACTCTGGCCCCCTCTCCAGGTCCTTGTTAACTTTCTCCTTCGTTCCTCAGGGTTTAAATCAGGAAGCTGTTGTATCTATGGTTTCCTTCTGGGTCAACTTATTACCTAACCAGCTTTGGATGATTTCCTCTCATTATTCAAGAGCTCTGACAAGTTGGCTCCATTCAGCAAGACCTTTCTCCAGGAGAGGGAGGTCGCAGAGGAGACACCAGGCAAAGTGTGCGCCTCAGTGTCTACGCCACCCCGGGGGCTTTCCAAGCTCTCCGTCACCAGCTGAGAAAATCCAGTGAGAGAGTACGTGGTCCTGAGGAGATGGCGTTGGGTCACTTGTAGACTTTGATGCAGCCACAGCCTGGTCACCTTTGGGGAATTCTCAGAGGAACTAGGAGGCTTCAAAGAAAGAACCAGCATTTTCCTTCTCAGCTAAAATCGCCTGTGCTTGCGACCTTTCCCCCCAGCACCTTCTCGTTTCATCACACCTGCCATGCTTGTAGGAAGTGGGCAGCGAGTGGGCACAGGTGGGAGTCATCTATCACCCGTCTCATCTCAGGGATCTTCAAACTCTTTTGAAATCAAGCGGGGACAGGAAATATCTGTACCCATGTCAGATAGCTCCCATGGTGCAGTGCATTCTTGTCCTGCCAAGCTGGGACACCCTTGTGCTCAAAGACGTGGGACTTTCCCCCCTTCTGTCCCTCTTTTGGACAGAAGCTTTCTTTCCCTCAATAAATACATTCTGCTCTTGAAAAAAAATACACGAGGGCCCATAAGACCACTTCCCTCACAAAAAATCTGTTTCTGTTTAATCCTTAGCTTTCTAATTCTCACTTTAAAATTAATCTAGCAAATGGAGAGTCCTTAGCTTCCTTAGGACACTTGACATTGTATTCCAAGAAAGACATGAAGACTGAAAACTTTATTTATTTCTCTAAATGCATATAAACCAAGGGGAGAGGAAGTTAACTGGACTTTTGCTGCTGAGTTTGGGTGTGTGTTGGAAAGGCTGCCTGCATGTGTCACAAAACCCCCTGTCATGCCTCGTACAAATCCTTTAGCAAGTACGTGCTTTCTGAAGTAAGCAGATAGTTTTAAAGGCAGAGTTTCAGGCCCAAGAAGTCTCTCCACACAGCAAACAGCCCAGCTATCTGGCTGTATTTAACTACTGCTGTCATGCTCTCATGGGACTGCCTAGAGCTCTGACAAAGGGCAATCATCCTGGTCTACAACTGCAACAGGTCTGTCAGCCTCGCATTAGCACATCCTTACACAGCTCTTTATTTTCATCACTGCTTTGCATACTCATAAATCAACTTATGGTCCAGAAAGACTCTCGGATATTTATGCCAACATTGCTGCTTCCTGAATCATCCATCTTATCTATTTTGTGCGTGTGTTTATCACTTTAAGTTGGTTTCTCTTTCTCAGAAGAGCCTCAGTTTGCTTTTCTGGGTATCTAAGATCTTCACTGAACACTCAGGCTTTTAACCTTGATATGACCTTATTAAATAATGAACTTTCAAGGTTCTCGGAAGTATGGGGGGTCCCAGAGTCTCATTTGATAAAGAAAGATTGTGTGATATAATAAAATATTTCATTCAGTGTTTAAATAACTTCAAATTCTATTATCTATCAATCCATCCATCCATCTGGGTTGTTCCATTTATTTATTTATTTATTTTTATCTTTTTGAGACAAGAAGAAACACACCTCAGCAAGATGCCCCTGAGTTCGTATCTGAAAAATCTACTGACTTCTACAAGTTACTTTTTAAAAAGGTATTCTGGAAAGATCCATGCAGTTAGTATAGGTAAAAACAGTCACAGAATCATCCTAGAACCAGACATCCTTTTATTACTATCCAATCAGCGCGTATCGTGAACGCATAACAACTCCAAGAATTGCTTTCAACCCCAAGTTAATTTTATGTTTCAGATTTGACATTCAATAAAACAAGGTTATTAATTTGCCCTAGTTGGAGAGCCAACCAGAGCATCATCTGACTTTGAAATAGTTTAAAGATACCAGTTTCATTATATTTTTGTCCTTTTAAACAGACTAGGTTAAGGACACCGTCCAGTGAAACTCTCGAGGAAGCTGTTGTAACGTATAAAAATGCCGATTTGTGACTCCTCTCTCTGGGGAGGGCACAGCATCCAAAACCAAGCACAAATCCTGGATCAGTCACGGCATCATGGGGTAGCAGGTGCTTCCTCTGACTTCCATAGCTGTAGCAGTGGGACTAATGTCAACATAAATGAGTGCTTTTGAAAAATACTTGTATTTTTTTATTTTGGTGGTTTAAGCCATCAATTTAAACCATCTCTGGGAAAATGCCTCATGTTGAGTAAATGTGAAACACAGGTGTTAGTTTCATCTTCTGTTGGAATTAGAGCAAATTCTGAACCTAGTGGAGTGAGAAGACACAGTTTCCCCTGGGAAGGTGCTGATGAAATTCTAGTGGGGAAAAGATTAAAACTTTGTACTGAAGAACACATGTGACTTTTTCACGTGCAGAGGACACTCAGGATGGATTCTGGGGTTTCCATGGGACAGCTACAAGCAATGTGGGGGGGGCACACACACCTGTAATCCCAGCACTTGGGAGGCTGAGGCAGGAGGATCATAAATTGAAGCCAAGCCTGGGCAGTTGAGTGACTAAGCAAGACCCTGCCTGTTTCAGACAGAGAGGGAGAGAGAGAGAGAAAGAGAAGAAAACAAGGGCTGGAGATGTAGTCCAGTGCAAAGGCCCTAGGTTCATGCCCAGTACCACTGAAAGAAAACAGAAAAGCAGTCCAGAGCAGCCTCACTTGCAGATGCATTTCTGCAACCTGACAGTATCCAGAAGAGCTCCTATATATTAGGGAGAACTGGAATCGGTCTAATTGGTTATTGATAATTATAAAGCTCAAACAACCAATTACTTGAATCTTTTTTTTAGCTGCACTTTGGCATTGCCTTGATACTGTCTTGCTTGGCATCAAAATTTGATTTTCCTCTTAGTCATTTGGGAGGGGAGTTGTTATTTATGTGCACTTTTTCCCCTACTGCTTTTTCTAAGTAACACATGTTCATGAGATAGCAATAGCAATTCATAGAATTATGTTAAATTATGGATGCTGTCACAAGCTAAAGCTGTATAAGCTTTAATATATATAATTTAAATAATATATTTAATAATAAATTTCAGAAATTTTGCTGTGCTTTAAGAGGTTAAATTCCTACCCCAAAGTGCTTCAGATAGCTTGAAGACTTTCACTTCAGCAGTGTGCACAGATAAAAGTACAACTCTAGTGTTTCAAGGTAGCACAGGTAGATGGGCTTTTTGCTTTTTGGTTTAGCTTTCACTTTGGTTTAGCTTTCACTTCAGGAGCCGTATTCTGTGTCACATTATCATCTTTGGCCTTTGGTACTTGATCAATAAGTACCATAATTGGATTTTGCGAAAAGCGTATTCTTCATTTTTCATTTCCTTGGTCTTCATGTGAAGGGCTTAGTAAGTGAATGATACGCATCTTCTACAAACATAAGCAACATTTTTTTCAGTGCAGATCTCAGTTAAGAGTAATCATTGTGTTCCTCTGACTTGGATGGAAATGTGAAAACTCTGCATGTTAAATATACAACAAGTTAAAAATAATCTGGTAGATCAATAGTAATTTAATATCGCATGCCTTGTATTTTAAATTAACTGAAAATAATGTGAAAAAGTGCTGTGTTTGATTCTCATTTTACAAGCCATGTAATATGTTTCTTGGAGGTCAGACAGACTGTCAGCTGTCATACTAATCACTTTACGTTCATCCCAGCTATGCGTAAATGCTCGCTTTTAAGGCTCAGAGAAGAATTGCCCCAATGCTACTGGTTAGAACTGATTTGTAAAACTATCAAAGCTTTAAGCCTGACTGAGCATTTTAGCTTTTTTTAATCTCTTATTTAACATGCTAAGAATGACATATATAGCAATATTTTCTTTATGACATTTTTATCAATGTCAGATATGCAAGTATGTGTATGTATAAATGATTCTCAGGTGCATTTAAAAAATAAAATAAATAAATACATGTCCATATGTTAAACTGTCTACTCAGCAATCATAGATAGAAAAGCATTTGTAAATTTAATTAAGCACTATAAAAGGAAAAATATTTACTTATTAGTTTCTATGTAATGGGTAAACATCAATACTTAGAATAAAATTTTGAAATAAGATATTTGTTTACTTAAATCTTGTTTATTAAGAATAAAGGGGTGAATTAATTTTGAAGTTAAATATTTTTTAAATTCTGGGACTATAAAAAAGAAATGTTACCTTCATGATTTCAATGTCTTGATTCACATACCCTTTAAATAAATGCAACAATGCCCAAAAAATTCTTATACAGCTGAACTTGCTTTACACACAGTTGTTCAGCCAAAAAATCCAATGGATTTTCTGTATATCTATAAGGTACTATCCTTACCTTTATTCTTCCTTATAGAACATTTTTAAATGACGGAATGAAATTTTAATTATTTATGCAAGTGTGATTTTAAAAAGTATTTTTAGCAAAAATGAAAAAATCTTCAAGATAAAACCTTTTCTTCTTCCTAATTACTAACTTTTTTTCATGTTTTTCATTCTAATCTCATCTTCTACACCTTGATATTAGAACACAGCAAGGCTGAACGGCAGATTCACAACATGTGGATAACATGAAGAGGTCTTGGACTAGGACACATTCTCTCAGGTCACCAAGACCCGTCAGTACACTGATAGATGATGGACAGGAAGGTTCCACCTAACGATCCCAGCTAAGGAAAGCCCGATCCATTTCGGCATCGACGTCCCTCTAGAATTTGTGCACGGCGCGCTTCCTTCCTATCTTAGTCTGATTTGTCAGAAGTGGGACAGATCAACATGGTGGTGGCTGGGCCATAAGAACGGAGAGGCCTGCAGTGAGTGAAATGCCCGAGAGAGAATAATAATCCTGACCAGCACTTATTGTGTGCACCAATCCGGGATTGACTTTAGCCTCTAATACCAGAGTGAACATAACAACATTGTTTTAAGTGAGAAGTCTGTTTCTCACATAGGGAAGGACATCAAGGTGATTTCCCTGCTCCCCTGGGACGGGGTACGTTCCACCCACCCACCCCTTCCGTAATGCAGGGCTGCAGCCTAAGCTCTCCACACGATCCTGAATAGTGGCCCCAACTGCAGCACCGATCCCAAGGAGAGGGAGGGAGCCAGCACCGGAGCCTCCCAACTAGGTCAGCCACTGTTCAAGGGTTTTCCTCCCAGCCCAATGAAACAACCCTGCCCACTTCTCATTGGCCAACCTGTCTAGAAGGCAGCAGGGAACAGAGGCCTCTGTGTTGGCGCCTATCACACCCAACAATGGAGGTTCTGTTTCACAAAGTGGTTCTGTTTCACAACATAGGCATCTGATGAGCTAGCAAGCCTGGCCGTGAGATGCTAAGCACTCGGCAGATACCATCTCATTTAATCCTGACACTATATCATAAAGCAAGTTCAGAGAACTAATAAACTGACTCCATGCTTCCCCAGTTTCAGAGTGCATGTGTTTAACCACCATCTTCTGAACAACAACAGGCAATGGAAAATGTTTAAGAAGGTGTTGATCCTTTCAAGGAGCCTGAAATAAGAAGTAATAGAGGTGCGGAAAGATGGGAAATTCAGGATCTGAGTCCCAGATGAAATGGTGGGTCACGCTGGAAAAAAAAAAAAAAAGCCAGAAGCTGGAATAGCAGTAATGAGGGGAAAAAACTAGGTTTCCAGACTTAGGTGCTGGTCAGGGGTTGAAGATCAGGTGGAAAAGATAAAGGCCCCTCTTGTTAGAGCAGAAGGAAAGCTAACACTAGTTGTTCTCAGGGCGCAGCCGAGAGACACTCGAAGATACTCTCAGGAACAGGGATTTAACTCTGGATTTAGTTGCCAGAATCGGAAGCAGCGTGAAACAGCACCTGTTTCACAGCCACAGTCATTGGCTTTCAGAATTCCCAAGATGAGCACGCTAGTAGGACTTGCCTGGAAAAGCTTGGGATTCAGCGTGAGCTCCAGCGGCCCACCTCTGGAATGCTTCTAGCATTTGTGCTTCCCAGGGGAGAAAATCTGATTGGATGGGAGCTTCAGCCATCTGTCAAGGCCTAATAAACCACCTCAGACCTTCGCAGCTTAAAACAACAATAGTCATTTGTTTTGCTCGAGAATCTGAAATGTAGGTGGGGCTCGGCGGAACAGTTCAGTCTCTTGTGCGGCCTCGGACCCGCAGCTCAGGTAGGGCTGGGGTTGCGCGGTCAGAGGCTCCCTAGCGCGGCTGGCAAGAGCACCCTGGCTGTTGGATAGGAGCCCAGCCAGGTGGATGTGCCAGGGGCCCTGGTTCCTACCCCAGGGGCATCTCCGTGACTTCGGAGATTCTTCGGAGCATGGTAGCTGGGTGCCAAGAGCAAGCATGGCAAGAGAACAAAATAGAGGTGTGCAGCATTTTTATAGCCTCAGCTCTCATGTTCTATAACATAACATCTGCTGTACTTGGTCACTGTTACAAAGCTGTAACCAGGTTCCAAGGAGGAAGGGCAGAAACCCCACCAGCCAGGGCTCACATGGCAGGGTCACACTGTGGAAGGAAGAAGCTGGGTGGAGGATATGTTACTGGTGATATGGGAAAAATAGGACCTGAGAAAATTGATGTGTCGCCATGCAATGTGAAGGAAATATCAGGTAATTGCAGGGATATTTGACCTCCCCTGAGGTCAGCACCTTTGTGGTTGTCTTTGGCTTGGACCTAAATCCCTGGCCCAATAATCTGAGGTAAGTGGTAGAACTAGTTTTACCAATTGCACGAGGCATGAACCATGGCCTGGAATGAGAGCTGAATCGAAGGCTTTAGAGTCTGTGACCAGTCAGCACGTAAGGTTGAAATAAGAGCAGATTCGATTGTGAACACCTTGAGGGTCAGGCTCAAGTCTTGGTCGTCTGTGTATTTTGAAAAGAGCGAACCACTACTAGATGCTTAATAATCGTGGAAAATTCAGTTAGTGAGCTGAGAGACACTGTCTCACTCTTAAGTACCGAATCAGTCTTTTTATCAGTGCCTGCAAACTCTAAATATGGTGTGGTTCATCTTCCATCCCCGTTTTCTCCCAGGTTTCTGGTTTCTACTCCTCATCTTCCACCTATGCACCCTGGTACCACTCTTACCCTTTATTTTATATTGTTACATTGCCTGTGTATTTTAATTTTAGCAACCTCAAATCCAACATGAGGAGGCAGAGAACAATCAAAATTGAATTAACAATGGGAGGAGGTGGAAGTAAATTCGTTCCAATTTGGAAGGTAAAAAGGAATACTAGGGGAGGAGCCCAGCAGATCATTAGAACCCTCAGAGCAGCTCTTTCTGCCTCGGCCCTGGTTTCTCTCCTTTGCTGTCTGGGTTATCCATAAAGAGATACAAGGGTATAAAAAAAAAAAAGTGATCCAATTCAGGTGACAACACGGGCATCTGTGAAGGGCTGTTTCTACACTGGGCAGGAGAGATTAACAAATCAGGGAACCGTAAATCATTTCTGGAGATGTTCTCCAGTGATCACTGAGTGTAGATGAAGCAAACCAAGCTAGTCAGTGGGGTGAGAAAAGAAATTACGAGACGACTTCTTGTCTAGCTCCATGGAATGTATGCAGAATTACCTCCAGCTTATTGGAGTGTTTTGGTCTTTTTTTTTTTTTTTTTTTTTTTTTTTTTTTT